GACAAACGTCTTACTTACTAAATTCATTTAAAGCGTATTTTCAATTTTAAATAATTCTAAGCTATCCCAAATCATCGTATTATTCCTTCTATCCGGACGCGTTCTTTCTCAATTTCGCAGTTTTGCTTCAATCAGAAACGCAAACTTATTTGTGACGATCCGTACTTACAGTCGAATCTAACATTTTGGTATGATAATCCTGTAAATTATTGTGTAAAACAATGTTTTATACATTGAGTTTTTCTCTATTTCATGTTTTATAAAGGCAGGCTTGTTTGTTTAGATAGGTTACACGTGGAAATAAAACAAAAGTTTGCCTTTAATTCTGAAAGCCCCTGCAAGGGAATTCAAGAAATGATTGACACGCCGAGAATGCCTACATAATACATTTGATGTTGTTCTTGTACGTACACTTTCTTAATGTTATTGCCCCTGAGAATTAACCGTATTAAGTACAAGAGGGTGATACATTAATGTAAGTTAATGTAATTTATATACGACGTCTTCCCTTTCACGCTCAAGGTTAATTTAGTTTCCTTTGTTAGTTAAAATGGAAGACAATATACCATACAAGCTCTAACTCTGGAAGGAGTATATATATCAGCATCGGGGAACGTAAAAATTCGACATACATTTATACTCAATTATCTACGTCGCAAAGAAAAGTAAAGACTCAATATTTCATATTTTTTTGTAAACGTTCCTTCAGTTGCAATACTTTCATTTGAGTTTATTATTTGGATACTTTTTCGAACTGACTTTGTTTCTTGTCTATGTAGGTATATGGTATGTATTGGTACAGTTTTGTCAAAATGTTAGCAATGTATGAGTACAATTTTGTATTATTCACAAATTATAACAACAAAAATTGGTTTTGAATTATGTTATGTGGCAACTTGATTTCGTGAGAAAATTAAAGAACATCATTAAAAATCGCAAAAATTGAGTTTTTTGCCCAGATACTGAAAGAATTTATTTAGAAAAGGTGTTTAGGACATGCTTTTCAAATTGTCTATAATTATTTATTTTAGGCATTTTCTGTTACTAATTTTAAGTCAACTTGAGTTATATAAAGATAGACTGATTCTTCTGGAACAATAGATTACTTATTTAAAAGTTTTCTTTTTAACGTGGTAGAAATAATCAAATCTAACGTTAAGAGTGACGAAAAATGAAGAATATGGAATTGTCTCTTTTAAAAGCTGTAAACGATATCTTGGGTGGCTGTCGAACTTTCTGTTATTTGTTATATGTTTTACCTTAAACTTTTAAACAATAAATTCCAGGTAATTCCGAAACTGTACCTCTACAAGTTTAATGCTTCATAATATTCGGATAAAAAATTCATAGGTATTCCTCCATCTGATGCCTTTTCCTTTTTGGGCAAGATTATTGATTATAAATATATGGAGTGGTTGTTAGAACGCTTACTTACATCATCCTTTTTCACTGTCCCACCATCCGTACTTTCATAATCTTAACGTTTCTCATACAANTTTTATAATCTTTGATACAACAACTTGTGTGTCCCATTTAAAAATATCCTTACGCAGAAGATTTTTAAATTTCCGACCTAAGTTCACTAAGTTGACGCTACTAGCGCTCGCAAATGTTTGACTATCCCCTCTACCTACTTGCTCATAGCGAATATGGTATGTATTGGTACAGTTTTGTCAAAATGTTAGCAATGTATGAGTTCAATTTTGTATTATTCACAAATTATGACAACAAAAATTGGTTTTGAATTATGTTATGTGGCAACTTGGTTTCGTGAGAAAACTAAAGGACATCATGCAAAAATTGAGTTTTTTTGGCCAGATAACGAAAGAATTAATTTAGAAAAGGTGTTCCGAATTCAAATTTAGGACATTCTTTTCAAATTGTCTATAATTATTTATTTTAGGCATTTTCTGTTACTAATTTTAAGTCAACTTGAGTTATATAAAGATAGACTGATTCTTCTGGAACAATAGATTACTTATTTAAAAGTTTTCTTTTTAACGTGGTAGAAATAATCAAATCTAACGTTAAGAGTGACGAAAAATGAAGAATATGGAATTGTCTCTTTTAAAAGCTGTAAACGATATCTTGGGTGGCTGTCGAACTTTCTGTTATTTGTTATATGTTTTACCTTAAACTTTTAAACAATAAATTCCAGGTAATTCCGAAACTGTACCTCTACAAGTTTAATGCTTCATAATATTCGGATAAAAAATTCATAGGTATTCCTCCATCTGATGCCTTTTCCTTTTTGGGCAAGATTATTGATTATAAATATATGGAGTGGTTGTTAGAACGCTTACTTACATCATCCTTTTTCACTGTCCCACCATCCGTACTTTCATAATCTTAACGTTTCTCATACAACTTTAGCTTTCTGTTTAAGCTCCACAACTTTGACAGTGGAGCTTCAGATTTCCAGCGGTTCTCTTCCAAGCAGTAGATAAGGCACTGTTACTAGATCTTAACACTTACACAATACATGGACTACAGTCTTTCTCTTCAGAGAAACTTACAGATGTTGTCTTCTGCCTGACTTTGCTGAATCTACAATATCCAGACAACAATGTTACCTTGTTACCATTTTCGGGCCTTATCCTCCACCCAATCTAGCAAGACATGAGGACCATATATGAGCCTGCTCTGGCTAACAATCAGCTTTCCGATTGCCCCTATGTTCCTCATGTTCTGCCGCTCAAGCTAGGCTCATATCGATTTGACTTCTTAGACTTGCATCAGCACCCAAACAATCACATACCAGTCTAGATTTGTTCTAGTGTAAGTGCTTATAAACCTGATTATAAGGTAGACAACAATGCGTTGGCAGATTTTTAATTCGATTCATAGAAGTTAATGGTCATCATTTCTGCTTATAATACTGTGATGTGTGTTACTAGATTAATGCAGATTTCAGTCTAATCGTAATATCTCATCTTCGACTCCTATGTCAATATTTTAGTTGTTATTGTTATAGAGTTCTCAGTTCTTTTTTCTAATAATATTACATCAAAATAATATAAACTGCGGTAAGACAATTTTTCCCGTGTTTTCTCTGAAGAGGAAACGAAATATATATGTCTAGAAACATCAAGAATTTCCAAAAATCATCAATCAGCAATCAGCAATTTTGTATGCTTTCACATCGAACACTGAAGAAGAGTTGTGGAGACATCCAAATTGTCATAAATGTTTAAAAAAATTGTCCTCAATAACTTCAAATGGTATCCTTTAACTCACTTCGCCGAATTAACCTTTGTTGTAGAAACAACGGCAGTCATTTTGAACAGTTTTTATAATAAGTTGTACTAAACCTAATAACATCAACTTTGTTACTTTTATCTCCAGTATTTTTTATTGTAATTTATTGTTTTTACTAATTATCTCAATAAAATTAGGCTTGTTGTAAATAATTCGTTGTATGTGTGTGTGTGTATCCATATCGAAGTAACATCTGGTATATCTTATCGTAGTAGAAACTCATTAAGAATTGACAGGCACAATGACTAAAAGATCAAACTAAAATTACAGTCAACCTACAAAATCAGTACCTACTAGCACTGTTAAGTATTGTAATATAGGTAGCAAGATAATGTAGACATTTGAAAAATATTTTTGGTACCCAAATCGTTCATTTAATCAAAATTCTACAAGAGATCCAAAAACTTGTCATTATTGCCCGAAAGAGGAAAAAGTTATGAACGGATATTATCAACATACATCAATTTTGTAGGAGTTGTAGTTTTAAAAAACACTCTGTATAACACCCAAATGTGTAGATTGAAAGCTAAAGTCCACACCCCAAAAATAATCAAAATCGTTTAATACGTATTCGAGTTATTTACAAAATTCAAAAAATTTTCACGAAATTTGAGGCCATCTAGCGGCCAAACGAAGCGATTTCGGATATAGGTGAATTAGCCTAAATCTGCCTATTTTGAGTCCACGTATCTGTGGTCTTGTACACGTTATTCTGGGACACCTTGTATAGGCCACTTTTTTTATTTTTTATATGCATGTGTAATTAAGAGTATAAGAACATGTCAGCGTTGTCTCCAGCAGCGTTTCTGGCTCAGGTATTACCCTTGACTAGAGTGTATATAGCCAAGGGTATTACCAATAAATTGAACTAATAGAACTATGTTATACGGAGCGTAAATGGCTCCATCTATAGCGCTACTTTCCAAATACGCCATTCACATGCGTACTACTAGTAGGAAGAGAACTGCTAAAATTTGCCAGGTACTTATTTGCACGATAATCGCCAACTGGGCGAAAACAAAAAACAGGGCCGTGCGAATAAGTACCTGGCAAATTTTAGGCTGTCGCTTCCTACTAGTAGTAGCCATATGGATGGCGTAATTGGGAAGTAGCGCGATAGATGGAGCCATTGTATAACATATTTCTTTGTCGTGAGTATACGACACTAAAACAGATGGATCGTTCGTCGGTTGTCTCACCTACGACTGATGAGGACCAATAAGTCCGAAACCGGTCCGTGTCTGGTGGGTTAAACGGACGAACGATCTATTATACTAGGTATTAGGTGTTGCGAGTATAATTCAATGCCGGTCGAGGCATATAGCCCGCGAATATAGTTGTTTCTCGCAAGACTGGCAATTTAAAAGAACTATTTTTCTAATCCGAATAACGACTCCTGCTGAATATTTAACTGTAACAGGAAATAGAATTCCCCTGAATACAATTTTCTCTCGGTTACAAATTCACAAAGAAGTTATTTTCCTTACCTAATGACGGAATTTTCTACATTTAACTTTGTTATTGCTACCCAATAACAAATCGAAATCGCAAAATCTCATTGTGCCGTCCACAAAGACACAAAGAAATTTATTTTACCTTTGTATTATTCAAAATACTCCGCGGGAGGAGAACTGAATTTAAATATTTACATTCCTGGAGGATTCGGCGGTTAAAGCGCCCTTCCCTCCGTGGAAATATTCTCGCTGGGGGACCGTAGGTGATTGATTTTATCCGTTTTTCAGGTCATACTGCGAGCGAATATTTAGGGATTGTCGTCTCCAAACTTGTTACGTTCAATCTCCGGCTTATCCGGGTGTGTACCCAAGAAATTTGCATTGTAGATACTACCTGAACACAAGACTGCCTTTTATCAAGCTTTACATAGAGAACGAGGAATTCAACATCGATGGACAGCGGTGCGAGAACATCATGACCTGTCCCATGAGGCCCATCTCGTCAGGTATGCAGAATATACATATTTTTATTGACTAAAGTCTATTTTTTAGTAGTGAAAACTGACAAAATTGGGATGAGGCAAATTAATCGTTCCATACTTAAAAACGACGATCTCACTAATTTATGAAATGTTAGATTTAGAAAGCAGTTGCAAATTTATACATGGTGCACAATTGAAAACTGTGCACCCGGCTTACTTTGAACTACATTCTAGAATATTAAAATTGCCGCGACACGTCCATTTTGTTTTCGAGGGGGACACATTTTAGCGTTAAATACGGACTGGCCAGAATAACCCCGTTCGCGGGGGCGCATTCAACTTTAGAATCTCAAATGGCTCTCTAGGTCGAGTGACACCGCATTCGAAAGTGTTTTTAATTCTGGTTGTCATCATGTAATTTTTTTTCAATTTTAGTTCATTGTTGAAAAAAAATTTTACTTATGCTTAGAAATAAAAGACAATTTTGTAATAATCATTTAGTTAATTGTTCAAAATGCCCGCCTCCCATTTCCATGCAGTAATAAAAACGTTGTTACACATTTCGACGAACATTGTTAAGAATTTCGGGGGTAATTAGGTGGCATTCTTCAATGATACGCCGCCTGAGTTCTTCTAGAGATTGCGGCTGAGTGGAATAAATTTTAGACTATAAATGTCCCCATAAAAAGAAACCGAGTGGCCGCTTAATAGGTCCACGACCACCTATCCATTGATTTGGAAAATTTTCAATTAAAAACTGTCGAACTGCAACTGTAAAATGTGGAGGTGCGCCATCTTGTTGCAACCAAACATTGTCTTCTAAAATGTTGTCATCATTTTCCATAGTTTCAACAATCATTAGATAAATGTAGTTATTCAAAAACTCAAAGTACATATACCCATTAAGATTTACTAGCAGAAAATATGGTCCAATAATCTTATTTCCAAGAATTCCTGCCCACACATTAAGTTTTTTTGGATGATGAGTGTGTTCCTCTCTAAATAATGTCGGATTGGCATCACTCCAATAACGGCAGTTATGACGATTAACCAAGCCATTCAGATAAAAAGCGCATTCGTCGGAAAAACATATTGAATATAAAAAATTTTGATCGTTGCCAAACCGGAAAGCAACACCTCCCCAAAATGCAAAACACCGGCAAGAACCGCCTCAATCAAGGCCTGAAACAAATGGAAGTTAAAAAGGGGGGAATTAAAAACCTTTAAAAAGCAGTGAAAACCGGGGCCAACAAACCCCCAAAATTCAAAAAACCTAACAAAACCCAAAATAAGAACCCCCTCCAAAAGAACAAAAAACGCAAATTCCGGAACCCCAATTCCAACAAGGGTTCCAAAATGGCCGTTTTTAATTTTCAACGGACCCGGTTCAAAAAAACCTTGAAACAAAACAGCCAACGAAAAAACCGAAGGGGGGTTAATTGGGGGAACCCGAATAAAAAATCCTGCCCGAAACCCAGCAATAACAATGGTTTTAAAAAAAAAAACAAATAATTCAAACCCTTCAGCCTTCCAAAAAAGCAATTTTAAAAATAAAGGGTAACAAAAAACACTCCGCCAAACACTTTTCTTTGAGAACTGAACAGCGACTAAAAGATATTGACTGGTTGACTGGTAAATTTGTTATCAGTACCAATTTTTTTTCATTATTCAAAATACGTTTTATTTGTACAGTTTTTACAGTGAAAATAAATTAAAATTTTTTATGTTTTCCCTTTAGCATTTAGAACAATTAATTAAATGATTAATACAATATTGTCTTTTACTTCTAAGCATAAGTAAATTTTTTTTTTCAACAACGGATGAACTAAAATTGAAGAAAATACGTGATGACAACCAGAATTAAAAACACTTTCGAATGAGGTGTCACTCGACCTAGAGTGCCATTTAAGATTTTAAAGTTGAATGCGCCCCCGCGAAAGGGGTTGTTCTGGCGAGTCTGTATTTAACGCTAAAATGTACCCCCCTCGAAAACAAAATTCGTGTCGCGGCAATTTTAATATTTTGGAACGTAGTTCAAAATAAGCTGGGTGCAAAGTGTTCATTGGTACACCCTGTATATAAATACATATTAGTATAACAATAAAAAATTGTAGCTGGTGGAAATAATTGTTTTGCCTCCTCCCAGTCTTATAATTTCTTTTTACATTCACCGTCAAGTTACAGACGCATAAATCGAAATATTTCAACTTGCACACTATAATTATGTGCTAATTTGTGCCATACATTATAAATTTGTACTATGTCCATTTTTTCAGGTATTTTAAACAATACATTGAGTCATCAGCTTGACGCTAAAATTCATAAATCAAATTAAAAAAAATTATCTTTTCCAGAATTTTGTGCTAATTTCATGTAAATTTGTGCCGCATTTTATAAATTATATAGGTACTCTCTTCATTTTTGAGGTATTTTGAAAACTACAATGAGTTATCAACTTGATGAGTAGCATCACAATATTGAATAAAAAATGTTTTACTTACCCAGAATTTTGTGCCAATTTGTGCCGCATTTTATAAATTTTGTGCTCACTATAGTGTGTCGTAAATTTGACGCTTCAACTCATACATCGAATTAAAAAATTATAATTTTTCACCAATTTGGTGGTAATTTTGTGCTAATTTATGCATGGCATTTTATAAATTTTATGCTTGGTCTTTTTTTGAGGTGTTTTAAATACTACAACAAATCGCCAACTTGTGACTCATATACAGGGTGATTCAGAACTTATCCAAAATATTTTTTGGATGTACAGGGGACTTACAAATACAATTTTGTAAAGAAAAAATCAAAAATGGTAGTTCGAAATTGATTTAAAAATACACTTCTGCACGGCACTGGAAACTGGTCCACTGTAAAACCTGACCTCGCACAATGCGACTAACACGGCGAGCGACAAAGTGTGATAAAAACGGTCAAAAACTTTAAAGAATTTCGCAAGGAAAGGAATAAATAGAATTTTATAGCACCTATTGCCGCTATTGTTATTATTAATTAATAAATTAATTTGTGATTTTAATTAATAAAATAATTTGACTTACCTGATGTTACACAACTGTTCAAAATTTTGTCCACCGACGTGTAAACACATTTGGGCTCGTCTTACTCAGTTTCTAAGAACTAACACAAATGTCCTGTTTCACTATAGCACACGTTTCACCATAACACAAATGTTGTGATATCCATCAACTCCGAATTTGCTATACACGCAAGCCATTTTTGACTCTAACTACTAAAAAACTATTGTAAACACTAACTCAATGACGATTGTAAAATCGAATTTCAGAATCAGATATTCAGAATTAAAAAATTTTAACTTTTCCAGAATTTGCTGCTCATTTTGTGCTAGTAGACAGATAGTAACAAATAATTATCCAAAATAAAATCTAAAACTGATACTAAAATTGCTAAATAATGTTATCATTCAAATAAATATCTCATATTTTTGATGTTCTGACTTGACCCTTGACGAAGACTGGCAACTACAAAGAGATCTTTTTGTTGTCACTTTTCACTTAAGATTGTTTCATCAAATAGCCTGGATGCGAATGGAAAAACACGTTTTAGAAAAAAATATATTTTGAAGCGCCAGTGTCAGAAATGTTGAATAAGGCAATATTATGTTATTCGTAACTTTGCCCTAATTTGACCGACCTTGTATATCTTAAGACAATCGAAATCCCAGTGGAGAAGCTTGAAAAACGAAAATGTAAATTTTACTCCAGTACTTTTTTAAATGGTCAATTCGTTCCCGCCATTGCTGCCCCCACTCTGCCATTAGAGTATATGTCGTCGTCATCCTAAAACACCCTGTATGAAATTGAATTTCCTTGCCTTTCCACCGCGTATCATTTTTTACTAAAAATTTCAAATTTATATACCTAATCTCATACGACAAATTTTATATAGAAATATTTCTCCTCTCGCGGCCATTTTTCACATCGTCTCTCGTGCGCCGCTCATATTTTTAATCTTTTCACCCACTTAAATCCAACTTCACTTGACAAACAATAAACATCACACACACCATTAATCATCCTCGGAATTCTATAAAGGCCACCTCGGCTTTTAAAAAGCCAGCAAGAAACATCGAATCGATGGAGGGATTGAAAAGACGTAACGCAAATAAAATTGTGCATAAAAAATGTTGCCATAAGTGACACTTTGCGGGTGCGTTTCTTCATATTACTTCTATCCATCTTATTTGCACGGTATACGAGGTCTGTTCAGAAAATAACCGAACCTTATTTTTTAATCTTTATTATTAACTTTATACACTATTGGTCCTTGTCTCGTTCAAAGTACTCCCTTCCCCTATTCACACAGTTTTCCCAGGGGTGTTTCCTTTTCGCGAAGCAGTCCTGGATAGCTTCATTTAAAATGGCCTTTAAACTCTGTGACGAATGTGCTATGATGTCGTCAATAGTCTGAACACGGCGTTCTTTCAGAACTGATTTTAATTTCGGAAATAAGAAAAAATTGCAAGGATCCAGGTCTGGTGTAGGTGGAGTGTAAGAGGAATTTTGACACAAAACTGACGAACTGACAAAGCTGAGTGTGCGGGTGCATTGTCATGGTGCAAGAAAGATGATTTGGAACCATTACAAAACGCCTTGACAGAATTTAAAATGCACCATTCCATTGAAGTCGAAAAAACCAGTGAGCATCACTTTGACATTGGATCGAGAGTGATGTGTTTTCTTGGGGAGTTGAGATGCTTTGTCAATCCACTGTAATGATGAACCTTTGTCTCAATGTCGCACAGTGGGGAAAAACGGATACAAGTGTCCTTAAGGCGTAAATTTCGATAAATCTTAATAATTTTTCTTTTAAATTACTCACAGACTCTTAATCTACATGTAACCCTGCGACCACACCCTAAACTAAAGAAATTTTCACTTCGGAAAACAATAAAATAGGTATCTACAAAATACACGATACAAAAACTTTAGTTCACTCACAAATCTTAAACCCACAAACCCCAAACCCTCAAACCCAAAACTACA